AATGCTACCGACGCCAGGGAGGCAGCTCCCACACCTGGACCCTACTTATCGATCCATGAACCGGGGACCAACGGCTTTACTTCCCTTCCGAATGTTATGCCTCAGAACATACCGGCGGCGCCGACTGGGATTGAACCCAGGCCTGCTGGGGTGAGAGGTAATCACGCTTACCACTACACCACCGGCGCCGCTCACTTGATGTCAGTTCTCATCTACAATTTTGCTGCACCATAATTTTTAAATAAACACCCAAGAAAATAAGTCCAGAGGCCAGAAATCCATTTTGAGTTGAGCTATCTCTTCAAAGTCCTCGTATTATTTAACGATCACGGAATGACATTAATTAGCCATCAAATCATTCTTTTCCAAAGCACAAAAATATCCCTCCGTAATCCCCCGAGAACCAACCGGCAGTGCATCTTTCTGCATCGGAGAGGCCTCTCGAATCCACCCACCACCAACTGCAGCGGGGCTTAGCTCGACCACGAGCAGCGGCTTAGGCCCCGGGACAGGACTCAATTATCTTCTCATCCACCTCCACGGGCTCTGGGCCAAACCACACTCACTCGGGAGGGATATGTTCTCAGCTAAAGTGTCATTGTAAATAAAAACGGTAGCAAACCACCTGAGACTGCAATTTTCTCGTTAGCAATAAGCCACTCTCTTCTTAGTCCGGCCACAACCTGTCGAGTACGAGGGATGAAAAAAAAAACCCCCGGCGAACGTAAGACGACACCGGGAAAATAATTGCTTTTTACGTCGCATTTTCTTTTCTCACCCACATCCACCGGGTCCGCACTGGTTCTGGGTGGCAAAATGGGTTGCGATAAAAATTATTTTTATTATATTTTCTTAACTAAATCCTCGGAATGAAGGTGGATCTGCGTTCGCCCCCGCCGGTCGGGATCCGTGTGCGTGTCAGTAGTCGTCAGAGAGGGAAGCCATCCTCAACTTGGCAGAGATTCACGGAACAACTTGGCACCCACCACCACCATGACTGCTGTAGGAAAAGAAGGACCTTTCTGTGGATTCTGCCGAGGAAAAATAAAGTTCAACCTCTCGACTCGACTCCGCTTTCTGGGGGTAATAAATCTTCCCGTTCAGGTTCAGGCCAGACCAGACCCGGCGCCGTGGCGCTGGGTTGGAAATCCGGGGGAAAAAACTTTCGCTAAGCTCCTTATTATCCGTCAGATGAAGAAAAGCGAAGGAAATGATAAACTCCTCGCTCGGATTGCCAACCACCCCCCCTCTCCACATCGCGTGGATTTTCTTTTGTTTGGCCGGATGTAGTGACGAGTGTTGGTTCAAGGCTGTGTGTTTCGGCAATCACTGGTGGAGTTAAGGAAGGGCATGACTCGATGGAACTACAATTTTTAACAATACTTCTGGGAAATATCACATTTTATTCGAGGGCAAGATCGAGTCTGGAAAGGTTATAACCATGGTTGGATGAGAATTTTGAGATCCTTTAATTGAAAGCTTGCGCCGCCTATGAGCTTCTGTGTCAACTACAAGAAAGAAGGATGATGCCACCGCTGATGCACAATTGAAGTAACGAATTATATCCACAAGTCTTTTAATTCTCGAGAAAATTGGTTCATAAAACGCCCCGGAGTTTTACACGGAATTACATTTATACGTGGAACTGCTCAAGGGTAGCTAATCGCATGTGGGGTAGTCAGTGGGAGAAGAGGAACTGTGTAACCGCTTTATCTCGATGAATTTGCTTTTTCGCGTAAATTGGAAACAAAAAAAACTTTTACACAAGCACAGGATCGTTACTCATTTGTGGAAATCATTAGAATGAAAGGAGCTTTCTCACAACCCCCAGAAATCCATTGTTCCAATTGAACAACTGCTGTTGATTTCCCACCGATTTCAGACGACGGATGGGAAACACTCTAATCATCTAAAAAAAAACAAAACAAAAATTCGATCAATTGAATCAGCCCCATAGACCTGCAGGCAGGAAGCCATTGCATTGGTTCTCGATGACCCGCAAAAACCGAAAATAAAAATCCCAGGTGCCCGTTGAATGTAAGTCTCGAATCGGGAGCCTCCCCTAGTTCACACAGAACGGCAGCGCGCGGTGGCCCACAAAAGTGATCGTCCGAAGCATCTCATGAAAAGTCTGGCAGCCCCGGCCTATACTTAGGCCTTTGTCGGCATCTAAACGGCCACGCCTCCGCCCAGTGAAGCGTTTATTGCCCAGCTAGAGGACCTTTCGTTCGCCTTCCACCTCCGCCCCAATCGGAGATCCTCCACCCCGTATTTGGCACACGTACATAGGTACAAACACCATTGCCGCTGCCGCTGCCGCTGCTGCTGCTGCTACTCTAAGGGCCCTCGGGATTTGGTCCGCTCGCGTCGAGTAGTGTGCAATTTTTATGGATATTTGCACGACGACGACGACGACGAACCGACAAAACCTCGCCCCGTGCCCCGTTCTGTTCGGCGAGTTAGGGCAGCGGGCGCGCGCACTGCAAAGATCGATCAAAATGTGGTTAAAACGATTTATGCGCGGTCAGACATGCATCTCTAGGAGCGCACGGGACTGTGGGCCGAAGCGGTTAAAATTAACGGGGGAAAATATTTGGAAAATACACGTCGAATGAGAACGACCCATATTTGAGTTTAGTTCACTCATAATCGCCAAAAGTGCAGGAATTCAGCGGTGAGTAAAATTTGTCTCATGTTTTCCCAGGTTTTTCCAGGATTTTCCAGGGAAAAATTCCTGAATTTGAGAAAAGTTCAGATTGGATTCACTCAGTCTATTGGTACTACTCCGAGACTGAATAAAACTTTCGTCAATTTCCTAATTTTCCGGCAGATTTTTTAGGTTTTCCACAGGAAACCATGAGACAAATTTACTCATCGCTGAGTTCCTGCGCTTTTGGCGATTATGAGTTAACTAAACTCAAATTTGGGTCGTTCTCATTCGCCGTGTACGGTATCTTCATTCATGATGAAGATCCCGAATCAATTTCGAAACGCGCTGTTCCACGACAAATGGCGAATCGGAAAAACTCGACTTTCTCCGATTTGCATGAAACTATGCATAATTTTTTGTTATAGGCACTGATTCACATGTTTGCTAAAATCCGACCATTTTGAAACTTATAAAATTTTCAACATGGCGTCTTTGAAATATGAAAAAAAAGAAAAGATGTCTGATACGAAGTTCTAGCGAAAAGTAATGTTTTTTTTTTCTGGATAAAACATGCAATGAAACGTGTTTAGGCTGTGTTCCATTTGGTGAATTTTCATTTAAATTTGACAGATGGCAAATTTTCAAATAAACCTGCTATTCCAGCAGACATACAAGGAATCAACTTTGACAGACGCTTTTTCGATACTCTAAGGCTGTGAACCATTTGCTGAGTTAAATTTAAGTCGTGGTTAAAAGTGACACTTCGAAAGTTATTTTCAATGTTCGAAAATCCCCGTGCTGTCGATCGACCGGTTTTCGAGCCACGGTTGTCAAAATTTAACTTCTTGTCTGTCAGAAATAACCATGCTTGGATAGCAGGGTTGATCGATAACTTTTCATCTGTCAAATTTTAACCAAAAGTTAAAAAATTCGCCAAATGGTTCAGAGCCTAAGAAAGCCTTAGCGTGAAACTTCAAAGACACAAATGTCAGCTTCCACAAAACATACAAATTTGAAATTGCTGCTCTCTGTTTGTAGTAGCACAGAAAACAAGGAGTAGCAATTTCAAATTTGTATGTTTTGTGGAAGCTGACATTTGTGCCTTTAAAGTTTAACGCTAGGGCTTCCTTAGAGTATCACCTTAAGTGAAAAATTTCCAAATGGAACACAGCCTTAGGAATTTCATGTAAACACTAAAAAAAACTCACAGTGTTCACTCGGCTGTCAACAGAAGCAGGCCAGGTGATCGTCTGTTTTCTTGGCAGCAACCATTGTGTGGTCCTCCTCATTGTTCTTCATCAGCAGTTCTTTTGGTTGATGCTTCGTCGACTTTAGAAAGCAACCGTTTTGTGATGAGTGAGTGATGACCACGTTTTGCGTCCATCGCTGCAATGGAAGCACTCTGCCACCGTTGGCTATACTGCCATACAATAAAACCACTTCAAGGAGGATCCCGTTCTCATTAAGGAGGCTTATAGTATAGCGTAAGATAAAGTGTTTATTGTGTTCTACCTATGTACTGTGTTGTACTATAGTTTAAAAAAGTTTTGTGTAGTGAACAAGGCTCATCGGCTTTGTAAAGTTAATTCTATTGAGCCTTATCAAATAAATTATTAAACAAAGGAATTAAAAAAAAAACTAAAAACCTAAACATGTCATACTGTTTATCCGATATCTGATTTATTTTTGAATCTCATAAGAAAGGCAAACTTTTGGAATGTTTAAAATTATGAACAAATTGAACAAATTGACATAAATCGTAGATCAAGAACTTCGGCAAAATTTGTTAACTAATTGTGAAAACGTTTTTTCGTGTAATTTATACTCAGTAAACAATATTTGAGACATTTTGTGACATTTTCTGTGAAAAAATATTTAAAAAAACCGTATTAACAAAAAGTTCGAAAATTCGACCAAAAGTATTTGTCCAAAAATACTTTAAGTGTTCAAAATTTTAAACATTCCAAAAATTTAGATAATTCAAAAAATCTAACAAAGACATTTTAATATATTTGTTTTGTCAAAATATTTTGCAGTTTTTACTTGAAATAAATGAATACAACATTTTTTGAAAAAAAAAAAAAATCCCAAAAAGACATAATTATCTCTTCAACTTTGTCTGATAGCACGATTTTTTTTTTGGAAATTGTTAAGGACGCTGTTTGAAACTTTTTACTAGATCCATAGCAGCATAGATCGAGTTTTAGCAAAAATGTGAATCATTGCCCATAAAATACAATTACGCCAAATTTTCTCCGAATCGCTATTTGCTATTTGGATTGGAACTGCTCAAACGTTATAAAACTGTCATATTTCAATTAAAGAATAATATTCCGACTTCAACTCTGAGTCCAACTCCGAGTTCAACTCCGAGACCAACTCCGAGCCCAACTCCGAGCCCAACTCCGAGCCCAACTCCGAGCCCAACTCCGAGCCCAACTCCGAGTCCAACACAAAGTCCAACACCGAGTCCAACTCCGAGTCCAACTCCGAGTCCAACTCCGAGTCCAACTCCGAGTCCAACTCCGAGTCCAACTCCGAGTCCAACTCCGAGTCCAACTCCGAGTCCAACTCCGAGTCCAACTCCGAGTCCAACTCCGAGTCCAACTCCGAGTCCAACTCCGAGTCCAACTCCGAGTCCAACTCCGAGTCCAACTCCGAGTCCAACTCCGAGTCCAACTCCGAGTCCAACTCCGAGTTCAACTCCGAATCCAACTCCGAATCCAACTCCGAATCCAACTCCGAATCCAACTCCGAATCCAACTCCGAGTCCAACTCCGAGCCCTCGGCTTCTCGGCTTCTCGGCTCTGTAAAGTTAATTCTATTGAACCTTATTAAATAAATTATTAAACAATGGAATTAAAAAAAAAATTCTAAAAACCTAAATATCTCATACTGTTTATCCGAAACCTGATTTGTTTTTGAATCTCATATGAAAGGCAAACTTTTGGAATGTTTAAAATTATGAAGAAATTGAACAAATTGACAAAAATCGTAGATCAAGAACTTTGGCAAAATTTGTTAACTAATTGTGAAAACGTTTTTTCGTGTAATTTATACTCAGTAAACAATATTTTAGACATTTTGTGACATTTTCTGTGAAAAAATATAAAAAAACCGTATTAACAAAAAGTTCGAAAATTCATCCAAAAGTACTTTTCCAAAAATATTTTAAGTGTTAATAATTTTAATCATTCCAAAAATTTACATATTTTATGAGCTATTTTTAAACGAAATAATTTTAAAAAATCGAACAAACACATTTTGAGATATTTGGCTTATCAAAATATTTCTCAATTTTTACTTGAAATAAATGAATACAACATTTTTTGCAATTTTTTTTTCAGAAAGACATGATTTATCTCAATTGTCTGATAGCAAGATTTTTTTGAAATTATAAAGGACGCTGTTTGAAAATATTTACAATAGTGTGAATCATTGCCCATAAAAACAATTACGCAAAATTTCCTCCAAATCGGAGAAGGTCGATTAAAACAGTTTTGTTGCAGTTTGGTCTGGAACTGCTTAAACGTTTCCAACTCCGAGTCCAACTCCGAGTCCAACTCCGAGTCCAACTCCGAGTCCAACTCCGAGTCCAACTCCGAGTCCAACTCCGAGTCCAACTCCGAGTCCAACTCCGAGTCCAACTCCGAGTCCAACTCCGAGTCCAACTCCGAGTCCAACTCCGAGTCCAACTCCGAGTCCAACTCCGAGTCCAACTCCGAGTCCAACTCCGAGTCCAACTCCGAGTCCAACTCCGGGTCCAACTCCGAGTCCAACTCCGAGTCCAACTCCGAGTCCAACTCCGAGTCCAACTCCGTATCCAACTCCGTATCCAACTCCGTTTCCAACTCCGAGTCCAACTCCGAGTCCAACTCCGAGTCCAACTCCGAGTCCAACTCCGTATCCAACTCCGAGTTCAACTCCGAGTCCAACTCCGAGCCCAACTCCGAGCCCAACTCCGAGCCCAACTCCGAGCCCAACTCCGAGCCCAACTCCGAGTCCAACTCCAAGTCCAACTCCGAGTCCAACTCCGAGTCCAACTCCGAGTCCAACTCCGAGTCCAACTCCGAGTCCAACTCCGAGTCCAACTCCGAGTCCAACTCCGAGTCCAACTCCGAGTCCAACTCCGAGTCCAACTCCGAGTCCAACTCCGAGTTCAACTCCGAATCCAACTCCGAATCCAACTCCGAATCCAACTCCGAATCCAACTCCGAATCCAACTCCGAGTCCAACTCCGAGCCCTCGGCTTCTCGGCTTCTCGGCTCTGTAAAGTTAATTCTATTGAACCTTATTAAATAAATTATTAAACAATGGAATTAAAAAAAAAATTCTAAAAACCTAAATATCTCATACTGTTTATCCGAAACCTGATTTGTTTTTGAATCTCATATGAAAGGCAAACTTTTGGAATGTTTAAAATTATGAAGAAATTGAACAAATTGACAAAAATCGTAGATCAAGAACTTTGGCAAAATTTGTTAACTAATTGTGAAAACGTTTTTTCGTGTAATTTATACTCAGTAAACAATATTTTAGACATTTTGTGACATTTTCTGTGAAAAAATATAAAAAAAAACCGTATTAACAAAAAGTTCGAAAATTCATCCAAAAGTACTTTTCCAAAAATATTTTAAGTGTTAATAATTTTAATCATTCCAAAAATTTACATATTTTATGAGCTATTTTTAAACGAAATAATTTTAAAAAATCGAACAAACACATTTTGAGATATTTGGCTTATCAAAATATTTCTCAATTTTTACTTGAAATAAATGAATACAACATTTTTTGCAATTTTTTTTTCAGAAAGACATGATTTATCTCAATTGTCTGATAGCAAGATTTTTTTGAAATTATAAAGGACGCTGTTTGAAAATATTTACAATAGTGTGAATCATTGCCCATAAAAACAATTACGCAAAATTTCCTCCAAATCGGAGAAGGTCGATTAAAACAGTTTTGTTGCAGTTTGGTCTGGAACTGCTTAAACGTTTCCAACTCCGAGTCCAACTCCGAGTCCAACTCCGAGTCCAACTCCGAGTCCAACTCCGAGTCCAACTCCGAGTCCAACTCCGAGTCCAACTCCGAGTCCAACTCCGAGTCCAACTCCGAGTCCAACTCCGAGTCCAACTCCGAGTCCAACTCCGAGTCCAACTCCGAGTCCAACTCCGAGTCCAACTCCGAGTCCAACTCCGAGTCCAACTCCGGGTCCAACTCCGAGTCCAACTCCGAGTCCAACTCCGAGTCCAACTCCGAGTCCAACTCCGTATCCAACTCCGTATCCAACTCCGTTTCCAACTCCGAGTCCAACTCCGAGTCCAACTCCGAGTCCAACTCCGAGTCCAACTCCGTATCCAACTCCGAGTTCAACTCCGAGTCCAACTCCGAGCCCAACTCCGAGCCCAACTCCGAGCCCAACTCCGAGCCCAACTCCGAGCCCAACTCCGAGTCCAACTCCGAGTCCAACTCCGAGTCCAACTCCGAGTCCAACTCCGAGTCCAACTCCGAGTCCAACTCCGAGTCCAACTCCGAGTCCAACTCCGAGTCCAACTCCGAGTCCAACTCCGAGTCCAACTCCGAGTCCAACTCCGAGTCCAACTCCGAGTTCAACTCCGAATCCAACTCCGAATCCAACTCCGAATCCAACTCCGAATCCAACTCCGAATCCAACTCCGAGTCCAACTCCGAGCCCTCGGCTTCTCGGCTTCTCGGCTCTGTAAAGTTAATTCTATTGAACCTTATTAAATAAATTATTAAACAATGGAATTAAAAAAAAAATTCTAAAAACCTAAATATCTCATACTGTTTATCCGAAACCTGATTTGTTTTTGAATCTCATATGAAAGGCAAACTTTTGGAATGTTTAAAATTATGAAGAAATTGAACAAATTGACAAAAATCGTAGATCAAGAACTTTGGCAAAATTTGTTAACTAATTGTGAAAACGTTTTTTCGTGTAATTTATACTCAGTAAACAATATTTTAGACATTTTGTGACATTTTCTGTGAAAAAATATAAAAAAAACCGTATTAACAAAAAGTTCGAAAATTCATCCAAAAGTACTTTTCCAAAAATATTTTAAGTGTTAATAATTTTAATCATTCCAAAAATTTACATATTTTATGAGCTATTTTTAAACGAAATAATTTTAAAAAATCGAACAAACACATTTTGAGATATTTGGCTTATCAAAATATTTCTCAATTTTTACTTGAAATAAATGAATACAACATTTTTTGCAATTTTTTTTTCAGAAAGACATGATTTATCTCAATTGTCTGATAGCAAGATTTTTTTGAAATTATAAAGGACGCTGTTTGAAAATATTTACAATAGTGTGAATCATTGCCCATAAAAACAATTACGCAAAATTTCCTCCAAATCGGAGAAGGTCGATTAAAACAGTTTTGTTGCAGTTTGGTCTGGAACTGCTTAAACGTTTCCAACTCCGAGTCCAACTCCGAGTCCAACTCCGAGTCCAACTCCGAGTCCAACTCCGAGTCCAACTCCGAGTCCAACTCCGAGTCCAACTCCGAGTCCAACTCCGAGTCCAACTCCGAGTCCAACTCCGAGTCCAACTCCGAGTCCAACTCCGAGTCCAACTCTGAGTCCAACTCCGAGTCCAACTCCGAGTCCAACTCCGAGTCCAACTCCGAGTCCAACTCCGAGTCCAACTCCGAGTCCAACTCCGAGTCCAACTCCGGGTCCAACTCCGAGTCCAACTCCGAGTCCAACTCCGAGTCCAACTCCGAGTCCAACTCCGTATCCAACTCCGTATCCAACTCCGAGTCCAACTCCGAGTCCAACTCCGAGTCCAACTCCGAGTCCAACTCCGTATCCAACTCCGAGTTCAACTCCGAGTCCAACTCCGAGCCCAACTCCGAGCCCAACTCCGAGCCCAACTCCGAGCCCAACTCCGAGCCCAACTCCGAGTCCAACTCCGAGTCCAACTCCGAGTCCAACTCCGAGTCCAACTCCGAGTCCAACTCCGAGTCCAACTCCGAGTCCAACTCCGAGTCCAACTCCGAGTCCAACTCCGAGTCCAACTCCGAGTCCAACTCCGAGTCCAACTCCGAGTCCAACTCCGAGTTCAACTCCGAATCCAACTCCGAATCCAACTCCGAATCCAACTCCGAATCCAACTCCGAATCCAACTCCGAGTCCAACTCCGAGCCCTCGGCTTCTCGGCTTCTCGGCTCTGTAAAGTTAATTCTATTGAACCTTATTAAATAAATTATTAAACAATGGAATTAAAAAAAAAATTCTAAAAACCTAAATATCTCATACTGTTTATCCGAAACCTGATTTGTTTTTGAATCTCATATGAAAGGCAAACTTTTGGAATGTTTAAAATTATGAAGAAATTGAACAAATTGACAAAAATCGTAGATCAAGAACTTTGGCAAAATTTGTTAACTAATTGTGAAAACGTTTTTTCGTGTAATTTATACTCAGTAAACAATATTTTAGACATTTTGTGACATTTTCTGTGAAAAAATATAAAAAAAAACCGTATTAACAAAAAGTTCGAAAATTCATCCAAAAGTACTTTTCCAAAAATATTTTAAGTGTTAATAATTTTAATCATTCCAAAAATTTACATATTTTATGAGCTATTTTTAAACGAAATAATTTTAAAAAATCGAACAAACACATTTTGAGATATTTGGCTTATCAAAATATTTCTCAATTTTTACTTGAAATAAATGAATACAACATTTTTTGCAATTTTTTTTTCAGAAAGACATGATTTATCTCAATTGTCTGATAGCAAGATTTTTTTGAAATTATAAAGGACGCTGTTTGAAAATATTTACAATAGTGTGAATCATTGCCCATAAAAACAATTACGCAAAATTTCTTCCAAATCGGAGAAGGTCGATTAAAACAGTTTTGTTGCAGTTTGGTCTGGAACTGCTTAAACGTTTCCAACTCCGAGTCCAACTCCGAGTCCAACTCCGAGTCCAACTCCGAGTCCAACTCCGAGTCCAACTCCGAGTCCAACTCCGAGTCCAACTCCGAGTCCAACTCCGAGTCCAACTCCGAGTCCAACTCCGAGTCCAACTCCGAGTCCAACTCCGAGTCCAACTCCGAGTCCAACTCCGAGTCCAACTCCGAGTCCAACTCCGGGTCCAACTCCGAGTCCAACTCCGAGTCCAACTCCGAGTCCAACTCCGAGTCAAACTCCGAGTCCAACTCCGAGTCCAACTCCGAGTCCAACTCCGTATCCAACTCCGTATCCAACTCCGTTTCCAACTCCGAGTCCAACTCCGAGTCCAACTCCGAGTCCAACTCCGAGTCCAACTCCGTATCCAACTCCGAGTTCAACTCCGAGTCCAACTCCGAGCCCAACTCCGAGCCCAACTCCGAGCCCAACTCCGAGCCCAACTCCGAGCCCAACTCCGAGTCCAACTCCGAGTCCAACTCCGAGTCCAACTCCGAGTCCAACTCCGAGTCCAACTCCGAGTCCAACTCCGAGTCCAACTCCGAGTCCAACTCCGAGTCCAACTCCGAGTCCAACTCCGAGTCCAACTCCGAGTAAAGAAGACTTGCCTGTAAGCAGTTCCACTAGGAATCAATTTTATTTTGCACACTTAGAACTGCATAAAACTACACATAATTGCTCATTAGGGGCTATGAACCAAGTTTCACACGTCAAATTTTGCAAAATACGAAACCCTACCCCCAAGCTCCTCCCTATTTCCTATCCTTCGACAATGTACCCTAACCTCGGGTAAGCCGCGAGTATTCGGCCCAACTCCTACTAGACATAGAATTAAGTGAATTTTGTTACAAACAAAAAACAATGAATTATCGGCTCCGTAAAGCTAACACGATTGAACCTTACAAATAAACGAACTAGATAAAAAAATCAAAATGGCGTATTCGGTTTTTTCTTCTTCAATTAATCATAGCACGGCTCATCTGAGACAAAGTTGTCTTCTGAGACAAAGTTGTAGGAAACTGGATTGCCTTTTCAGAAAAAAAAAACACTGTGAAAAAATCACAAATTTTGGTCTAACATAAAAAAAAACTTCAGTTTTATGGGGGCGACCCCAGCGTAGTGGTTAACATCCATACCTCTCACGCCAAAGTCACGAGATCAAATCTCACCTCCGGAGAAGTCACGAATGACCCAAGAGTGTTAAAGTGACTATAATAAAAAAAAAAAAAAAATCTTCACTTTTATAGATTATCAAACTTATGTTTGTTTTATGGCTTTCAATTATCAAAAATTCTAACTTTCCTGAATTGGGCACAATGAACTCTTCAAAATTGACTTAAAATTATCAAATGTCTAAAATATACACATCGCATTTAAAACGTGACTAAGCTCGAAACTTATAATAAAGTAAATACTTTTATTAAGGGGTTTTCCACGAAACACGATCCATATTTCAAAGAGATGAAAAAATAGGTTTTATTTGAGCCTAAAAAATTAAATTAATAGAAAATCGAGAATATTAAGAAATAGATACCTAGTGCCTTCAGTAAAGCTTTTTGTTATGCCATTTTCTAAAGCTTTGCCGAAGACACCTGACAGATACTGAAAATGAAACTTTTGAAAAAAAATAATTTTTAGATGTCACTTCTAGGGAGATTAATCATTGTACTGTTATTGTCAAAAGAAGAGGTTTTTCCTATCCATAAGCTTTCTTGAAAATTCCACTTATCTAAAATTCAAGATTCACGTGATAATTACTTTTAACCGTCTTTCCACAGTTTTGGACCACTGTACGTCGCTCCGCTCCTCTTAAATTTTTTTTTATTAAAATGTAACCTTTTGAAGTATTTTTGCTTCTTGAAAACATGTTTAGTAGGGTGGGTCAAGTTTTTGAATCACAACCCCCTGTTCCTCACTGCTCTTCCGATGTGTATTGAGGTCCCCAACAACGGTAGTGGACCGAATACCGGACAGCCATTGAAACTTTTAAAAATTCCCATACTTCTGTAGCTTAAAAAGATGTCCAAACCTGATACATGTATATAGATTACCAATTTTGATCTTCAAAAAATGTGTGTAAATTACGATGATAATATCAAAATGAAGAAAATTTATTTTGCTTCTGAAATAAGGGCTGGGCCGCAGGTTGTTTGATTATGAATTACTGAGCTGTTTCCGTTTTCTGCCAGTCCTCACATTTATATACTTGCTATATGGCCCATTGTTCAATTTTTGAATCTCTTAAAATTCATCCCCACCCCTTCGTTTCATGCGTCCTCCTCATACTTCAGTTCCTTCAGAAATTCGCCTAGTTTGCCCGTTGTTGGTTGGCTTGCAGTTTTCATTGAATAACGATATGCGAGAAAAGCACCAATAACAACCATCGTTCGGTGCGGCGGCGTCGGTGGCGGCATCGAACAAAGGCATCGAAACGAACCAATGATTGGTTAATGATATCAGAAGATCATTATTTATGCTGCTCCGCATTGAGTACCGCGTGAGTTGCGGTCAACCGCGAGGAGACGAGGCACCATAAAAAAGCGATTCTTCCTCAATGCCACCGTACCCCATCGAAGTTGGCAGGCAGGCAGGCAGACAGTGCAGCCAACAGTGCATTGCGGATTCCCATAGAAGCCCACCAAAGCCAGCTGCCTCGGATTTGGGTATAGGTAAAGGAAACCTTAAGGAAAAATTCAGACCAAATCCCAAGAGGGATTTTCACGCTCTATCATAGAAAGTTTACGAATAACTATTGGGCAAAACTAATTTGAGGATCTCGAAAATGGGTTAACAAAATATACCTGACTAGTTCCGCCACTAAATGACAATTCACGATCAATGAAAATTGCCCATTTTATGAACCATTTAGGGTTCCCACCTTCGGCAGCATCAGGTTAATTCTCACGATCTCACAACTTCACACATTGTGGGATGCGTTGTTCCCTGTTTTCGTTTGAATTGCGCGCCGAACGTGTCCGTCGATGAGCCACGCATCCCGATCCCGAAAAGGATTCGACCGATTTTTGAGGGATTGGAATCAAAGCATAATTGGCGGTTTACCGAACGGAAAAGTACAACCTATTAGCAGCGGATGATTACAGACCGGTGTCGTGTTCTTTCTTTAACACCTTGCCGTACGCTCCACGGTGTTCCTCGCGTCGCACCGAACCAAACCCGAGCCGAGACCGCAGTCCCGTAAGTGGGTAGTGCAATCCTTCTCGGTGCGTGTATAGGAACAGGAGGTTGCAGAGAGAGCGAAGAAATCATAAGAATATGAACGGAGCATTAGAATAAAACAGCAATTACGGAAATGTGCGGATGCGGCATTCGATGGGTATTGATCATCAGCAAATCGTTTAAATTAGTTTAATGAGCGGAATTGGACTTGCAGTGGAGTGTCGAAACCGCAAACTTCATTACGACTCACCATGGGATGGGTTCCGGTGCTACCGGGGTGATTTGGTAATTTTCAAAACGTGGACGCCCAATTTGGGGCACTGTGAAAGGGATGTTTCTTTTTTAGTTTGGCAGTTGCGTTGAAAGTATGATTGGAATGTCATTTAACGACACGCATTTCTGCGCTGAACATATGCTGCGAACTAGAGCGTGTTAACTTGCTACAATGTTTTATCTCATTGGGGGAGCTAATCGTTGCTGCTCAGAAACAAAAAAATCATGCATAGGGTAGAGAACTACTTCGGCCTAATCGCCCATTTTGGGCCTATCGAGCAGAAAACTTCAAATGAATCCATGATTTCAGAGTTAACAAGTCGATTATGCGTTTGGTACGATACTTTAGTTAATAAGCTACGGAACGAAGTCAATGAGAACGCGTGATATGAAGTTTTTCACCCATTATTCCTAAAAACAAAAGAAGCGCTCCGACCGAATCAATTTTTATCTTCATCCGATAGGCCGAAGTAAATTCATTTGCGTTTCAATGGCGTTTCAATGCGTTAGGCCGAGTTTAAAATCCGTAGGCCGAGTTTGGTGTCAAGAAGCAGTGTTAGACTTTTGACAATATCTCAACGATTGGTTTCTCTTTATCAAATGTTACGGTACATACGGAAAGGTAAATAAATTTGGAAGCCATCAGTTATAATAACATTTCGTTTGGTGCTGAACTGCGCTAGATTAAGAAAGATAAAGTGCGGGTTGTGCTTAATAGGCCGGAAATGGGGTATTTAACCCTAGCTGAATTTTTGACATGTAATAGTGATTTCGGTCCCGAGACCATAGAGGTCACGATTATTATCAATGTTTTTCAATGTCAAACCACGATTATAGTCCAAATTTATATTTTTCCTAAGCATAAGATTTTATAATTTTTCATTTGACTTTTTGATCCTGTTTGGTCCAGTTGTTCAAAAGGTATGATAAAAAAAATGCTGATTTTTCGGGCCACTCTAAAACATAACCTCATTTTCAACATTCCCATCCATACATTTAGTCAAAGGCTCTCGAAGGGAGACAGCGATGCAAATCCTTCAAACAGCTCGAAAATGTACAACCCCAAGCCAGTGTTCAAAAACTCTCTCCGATGGACAGGAAAGCTAAATCGGCGCACTCAGCAGGACTAAGATTACCTCGACTATCAACAATACCAGCTAATAGAAACACTGAAAACTCGCTGAATCCTGCTGCCACAGATTCTTTCAAACAGCTAGAGAACCAGCAACCCGGGACCAGTAATCCAACTATTGCAAAAGTTTCCGTCATACACGATTAGCCTCAGATAGATGTACAAGTCGAACACCAGATTGGTAATGTTGTCATGGGCATTTTGCTAGATTGGACCGAATTCGACGCCGATAACAACGACACCGTGGACTATAATGTGTCATACGAACCACCGAAAAAAGCTGGAAAAACCTACTCCCGCATGCAAAATGGATGTCAAAATGCGGCTGGATCCTATTGCTCATCAGATTGATCTAGTGAACTCAAATGCTAAGTAAACAGGATACTTGGCCTTTTAAAAATAACCCGCTACTTGTCTTTCTTTTGTGTGTGGACAACAAGGAAAAATCGATGAACTTACCAAGCGCAATGAGGAACAAGCTGCGCAAATTGAAAAGTGGAATTTAAAAAGTGAAGAAACCAGTCGACGTTGCCTCAGTTTGACCGACGTACTCAACACCAACATCCTCGGAAATCTCCATGAAGACGTTTTTACTGTTATCGAAGGATTTGTTACCAAGGACAAGTTGAAGAAATTTTCCGAAGTTTGACCAAAATAGTTACTAATTTTTTTGTGAATTTACTGATGCATGATCTATGGCCATCGGGATTTGGTAACAGATCGGTAACAGGGCGATCATCGAACAAGCCACGTCGACGAAACGGAACTGAAGGTACTGGATTGACCGATCAAAGCGTAGCAGCTACGCCAAAGATACCCTTAGAGCCAAATAAAGTGTCCTACATTGAAGGTGATTATGGAATTTTAAAATGCTTTTTTTTTTGGACTTAAAATGACATAATTATTTCATTTTCAGACCGTCTAGAAGAACATCGCTTATTCCAAGGGGACTCAGCAGTTGTAGCGAGAATTAAGGTGAAGAAATGTGGCCGGCTCATGACACGGGTAATCGCTT